CTGGGACAAGATACGCCGCTGCTTTAGGATACTTCCTGCGAAAAGCATCATAAAGATACTTGAACTCTGCCTCTGTATAAGCGTGTGCACAATCTCTAAACTTGGATGCACAAAAGCATATTTATTGTTATGGACGTGACTTTTAACATTCTGAGACAAATTCCATATGCAATATCCATGTTCGGCCTCGAGGAACACTAAACGTACTGATTTGATTAAGCTTTTGTTTCTGTCTGAAAGGAACACCAATCCCAGACATCGGATATCACTAATTTCAAATCCATACCATCATCATGTGTCTGATTGACACCATCATGCATCTCAATGTCTTCGTAACAAGTGAGCACACCACTATACCCATCTTCATCACCAGCCTCATCTATAGTCTCTCTATCAGATAGACTGACATAGACATCAGTTTCATCATTATCAGTACCATCTTCATCACCAGCCTCCCCTATAGCCTCTCTATCAGATACACCGACATAGCCATCAGTTCGTCATCCTCTTCTGAAAGTTGCATTTCTTCATTGATGAACTCCACATATAGAACACTTGTACACTTCTCATGATTTACTTGCAGTAGATAACCAAAAATTCCATCATCATTCCGGATGTATGATGGCTTGTATGAATACAACACCATTGGAAAGTAACTAATCTTCACTTGCACCTTAGATTCATCTACCTTTATTTTTCTGCAAATATGCTCAACCAAACCAGAGTAAGTGATCTCCTCCATTGAATTTCTCAAAAAATCGTGTGAATTTCATCTTCTCCTTCACCATCTTCCGAGATCCATTTTATTTTAACCTCATCTTTCATATAATATCTCCCATAATACAAATAAATGATTGTGCAATGCGGATTTTTCATTTTCCTGAAATAAAATAGAATACCATTAGATTATCATTATTAAGATGCTTAGAATTATCTTTCACACCCGTACAATCTATCATTATTAATGCTAATTTATTTCAGTTCTAAATATAGTAATTCTAGTAATTCCAGTACAACTATTTTTCTTAGTAAAACCTAGTTATCCCAGCAATACCCAGAACTTATCCTTGCACTAACTAATCCGCTTTTAGGACATTATTGTTAGGATTTTACATTACCCGTGATGTATAATTCATCTTGAATGAAATTACACACAGAAAATCATCAAAACATACATAAAATATACCCAAAATCTCTAAATACAGTTTTCAAAATCTTTTTTAATCTCTTATAATTTTCATTGGATCTTCTGTTTTCAACACTAGCTGAGATATACATTTGTTTTTAATAACATTTCAGCGAAAAAATATCATAAACGGACGTAAAATATACCTAAAAATCCTAAACACAGTTTTTGAAATTGTTTTTAATCTCTCCAATTTTCATCAAATCAAATATCTCCATGATGTACACGATGTTTTAATGGTGATTTTACAAAAAAAACATCTAAAACAAATAAGAATTACATGTTCAAGGAGCTTGGAAATCACCAATGGAGGATGAAGAGGAGGAGAGAGGCCGAGGAAGAAGAAGGATATGTAGGCCAAAAATATTTGATTGGTTAAGTTTGTTTTGTGGGCCATGTAGGTAGTTGAATTGTGGTTGATTTATTTAATTCAAAAATAAATGGAGAAAAACTAGTTTAGGGATTGCAAGAATAAAAGGGTAGGAAGAATAGGGTTGGGTAGTAAGCATGAGTTTAGGAGGATATGGGGTATATGGAGTTAAGCTCCAATAAAGAAGATGATCATGTTTTCAAAGGAAGGTCTCGAAAATTAGGGTTAATAGTCTTTTTCTATCTCTGGCGATCTAAAGCAACAATGGAATTTCAGGAGAGAGGAAATGTCATGAATCATGAATCTCTGTGTCAAACTTCGATCTTCTCACCTTCAATGGAAACCGGGACGTTTATGGTTGTTTCAATCGTTTTCATTAACTTTCCAGTTAACTCCATCCTCCCACTCATTTCATGATTTCTGATTCATTGCATCTCCTTTTTTTTCTCGTCGGTGAATCTGAAACTATTTATAGGTGAGTCTGGATCCATAAACCTCATCATTATCTTCTCTTTATAGTTTGAATCCCCAGAGCCTTTTGAATTCTCAGGTGGTTGGTGGTGAAGGAGTGAGAACTGGTTTCATGCGGATCAAGTGTCAGTCACAATGGAGAGCCATGTCTTGGTTGTTATGGCGAAAAGCCATGTGAGAGACTGTGATTCGGTGATGATCAGAAATTTCTCGGGGGTATGGAGACATCTTCAAGGACCATTAATTCTGGTACTTTTTTATTTACTTAGCCCAAAAATAGATGGATGATTAGAAATCTTCGGTAGCATTTTTTTTTGGTAAAATCTTCGTTAGCATTTGAGTATAGCATTTGAGTATAGCTTATTGATAGCTTAGGTTTAGTGTATATAATATAAAGTTTGAGATGAATGTGGATTGATTGAAAAATAAGAGTGCTAATTGTGAGTTGAATTTAGTCTCATTGCATGATTGATCATTGTATAAGAATTCCATCCATTTATTAGTCTCTCAATTTTTTCTTTACAACTGCGAAGGAAAGAGTTTTTGTTCATCTCTGGATATGAAGGTCTTTATATACATTACATGTATAGGGAAAGGGAAGAAGTTTCTGGGAGGAAAATGGATCAATTTGAAGCATAACGTCAGCTCGAGTTTGAGCTTCTTCAGATTGGTCCAGAACGAGGTTAACTTTTCCAAGCTGATGATAAAATACTATGTATAAAAGTCCTTGAGATTCAAGAAATTAAAGATTTTGATTCTCTATCAAGCATTCGCCCCCACATAAAATTTATCAGATTGTCTTTTCTGATGGAATAGTTATAGTGAAACTGTTTACATGAAGTTTCAGAGAAGAGTGAGGATTTAGAAGTTTAGACACATGTGTTCAGAACCGTTGGAACAACGAGTATAACCTTATGAGCTGGAGCGAAGTCTACATGAGCTCATGGAGACAAGCCAAAAAAAGGAGATAAAAGAGCTGCGAGCTGGATTGGAAGAAGCCAGGAAACGGCTTCATGTGATAGAGGCTGAAGCTTCTTGGTGGAAAGACACCGCATATATAGCCTCTGAACATATCGTCTTCTATAATTACACTGTTATTGTTAAATGGTTTACAGCAGGTTTCAGAGAAGATTCAGACACATGCATTCAAGGACATTGGAGGAACAACAAGGAGTGTGTCTATATGAGCTGGAGAGAAGGCAATACGAGCTCATGGAGCCAAGAAATATACTTTTTGGAAAATACTATGTATGCTTAGATCAAATTAGAAAACGACATATACACAGTAAGCTAAACAGATGCTCTCTAATAAGAATAACAAAACATTAGCAGTGAAGTTTATATTATTTTCAGTGGACAGTAAATTAAATATTTATGAATTTTCAGTCAATTTAGAGATAATTTCTACGTCTAAGTTATCAGAGAGAAACTTGATGGGAGAATTTCAATTATAACACTTTGGTGGTACCACTTTTCATGTTTACCATCAACAAAAGAACATTTTCAAAAATACACATTTTATTAAATGATAAAAGACTCTTATATCCTTATTTTATATATATATACATAAAATAAATATTAAATAAAATATTAAACCTAACCCCTAAAACATCAATTCTAAACTCTAGACCCTAAAAAGTAAACCCTAAACCCTAAAAATCAACCCTAAACCCTAAAATATCAAATCTAAACCTTAAACCCTAAACTCTAAACTCTAAAAAGTAAACCCTAAACCCTAAAAAATCAACAATAAACCTTAAACTATCAATCCTAAACCCAAAACCCTAAACCCAAAACTCTAAACCCTAAATTCTAATAGTATTTTGACTATTAAAATTTTAGTGGTAAAGTTGGTTAGCGTTAAGTTGAAAAGTGGTATCTTGAAAGTGTTATTTTGGCAATTTCCCAAACTTGATTAATAAGAGATTCTCAACCCTCACAATTGGCTAACTTGATTGTGTTGATCGCTTACTTACTCTCCCAAACGGAGAGTTTGAGTAGAGAAATATACTTGACAACAATAGGATGCAAATAAAAAAACTAATGTTGTTTGGTCATGGGAAGTGAGTTTCAACATTTTAGTAAATCGGAGTTTAACTTCTTCTTTTTTTGCACTATCAAAACACAATCAATTGGTAAGTATACAATAGAATAATAAAATTCTTGTAAGGGTTATATTTAATCAAGTTAACCAGTAATATTTATTTCAAGATTATACTCAATTATTTTGATAATATGGTTAACTTCATTTTTCATATATAATAATACATATAATATTATAGCAAACATCTATATGTATACCCTTTCTCAAAAGAAAACATGTATATTTATAAAGATTAACGATAGTTTCATATTATCCATTTATCTAACTTAAAATGTTTTAGTTATAATGTATAAATTATTTCTTTAACATCTTGAAATAATTAGTTTTATTTTTCTAATCTATAAAGACAAAATAAAATTTTATAATAATAGACAAGTTAAAATTTCTAAAATGAATCATTAAAATTATTGTAAAAGTTATGAATGTTAGTACTATTTTTAGTTAAAAGTAAATTAAAAATTTAAATAATATATTGAACAAATCATTTTTTACTCGCATGTTCGTAGGGCGGGTTTACCCTAATAACACTATATTTTAATTGATCACTTCAAATCTTTAATTTAATATTTAATTTAATAACATTAGATTTTAACCTCATTTATAAATACAAAAATTAACAGCACTAGATTTTCAATTCTTACATTAACCAATAAACTTATACACGTTTTAATATTCTTTCAAAAAAGTCAAAAGTCTTGAGTCAATCAAGACCTGAATAACTTAATCCGTTTCCAAAATTATACTAAATAATAACAGTTTCATTTAGTCATCCCTTCGAATATATTTACGTTTTTGTTAACATCTATAAATAGGGAACGAATATGCATGTTGAGTTCAATCTGACAACCACTCGACATAATTACATAGCAATGGCTCTCTTAAATAACTCTCATAGCATTTTGATGGTTATGATCTCTTTTTATACTTTTTATATTCTTTTTGCATCAGTGTTAGATGTCTCAAATGCTGTGGAGGAAGCATCAACATCAGGATCTGCAGGCGTTGACGGTTTCTGGCCTCTAGCACCAAAGCATGTCATAATAAACAACACTGTACAAAGCAAGCAAACTCTGAATGTACATTGCAAATCTAGTGAAGATGACTTGGGGTTGATCCAAATCCCTTGGAACCAAACCTGGGGTTTCAAATTTCATGTTAACGTTTTAAAAACTACGAAGTTTCGATGCCATTTTACGTGGGGTATAGGAGAATCTCACGAATTTAATATATTTAAAGTAGCGAGAGACGATGATAATTTTGGAGATTTTCCAGTCTGTAAAGTATGTATTTGGGAGGTGGGAAGAGACAATGACAAGAAAGCTATGTGTCGTATAAATCGAGATGCATCGATTAAACCTTATTGTTTCACTTGGGACGATGTTAAGTAAGAGAAAGAAGATTATTGTTTTTACTCTATATCTAATACTCCCTCCGTTTCACTTTAATTGTCGTTTTAGGTTTTTCCATACAGATTACAAAAATATTTAATTTCACATATTCTCTAAAAAAGACACACTTATATATACATCTAATCATATTTCAACCAATAAAAAATAAAATAACATATAAAATTAATAAATTTTGCATCGAAATTATAAAACGACATTTATTTTTAAACAAAAATTTTACTCACAAATGAAATCTAATTTATTAAAAAGGAAATACAAAAAGTACTTAACCCTTTCTTTTGCACAATAATTACTGATCAACTAGGTGATTTTCTCGTGCTCATGCACGGACATAAATATTTATAAAATAAATATATTATAATAGTTGATTGATATTTACTTTAACTTTTATATTAATTTATTGTTTTTATGTATAATTTATATTAATAATATTATATTATTTTAGTTATATATAATTTTAGATATATTATATTTACTCAGTTTTATCATTTGGATATATATATTGGATTCTATCTATTTCTCTAAATTCAACTATAATATTTTTATTCTAAATATCTTAAATTTTTGATTAATTGTTTTATTTAAATTTATGTTGGTTGTTATCTTAAAAATATAAGTATATCTTAGTAAGATTATGTATTTTAAGATTTTTTGTGCTTAGAACGAAAAAAAATTAAAAACTAAAGTGTCTGATTCTAAATTACATACATAAGTAATAATAAATTTTTGGAAGCTTATGAACACATATCAATATTTAGAATAATTAAATATTTTATAAATTTTAAATAATTTATGCCTTAGATTGATTGGATGGTAAACTGAAATTTATTTTAAATAAATTTTAAAATAATGAATTCTGATTTGCTTAAGTATTTTGATTATGGTTATATTAAATTCCACAAACATAAACACAGAAAATTAAACATCAAAATAGTTATTAAGAAAACAAATAATTTTAACTATTAAAATATAATATATCTACCTCGTTAAATTATATAGTGTTATGATATTTTAAAAGAATTTTAGTTATTTGATCAAAAGATGTTTATTATTAAATTTATTTTTAGTTTTGTTTTTAATATCTCTTAAAATATGCAGTAAAAATGTGATTGTTTTGAGAAATTATATTATATAAGTAAAATATAATTGATATTTTTTTTGCTGTAACTGTAAGATATATAATCAAATAAATATACTAATTATAATTTTTTTTTTCAATTAAACATATATCAGTTTATGTTACTTAATTATTTTATATAATCATCTAATAAAATAGATAGATATATACAAAACTAATTACTTTGAAAATATATATTTTATTGTTTAAATTATTTTCTTAAAGAAAACATATTTCTTTTTCTAATATAAAGATTATTTGTATGAACTTTTTTATGATTACACATTATATACAAATATTTTTTTCATCTAAGAAGATATATATATATAAAGTATAATTACTTAAAAAGTATAATTTATGTTAAATATTACTACTTTGTAAACTTTCCTTTTTTATGAAACCATATTATATATATTTTTTTCGTTTTTAAATAGTTTTGTAAATTTTATAACTATTTCCTTTTTGTTTTATATTGTTATTTGGAAGATTTTAAAAAAGAAATAATAATTTTTAAATTTTTTTTAATTCATTAGGGGTATCATAGTAATCATCCATCATGAGAGTTAACGTGAGCGTGACACCTAAGAAAGTGACTTCTCAAATAATATTATAGAGATTCCACTCAATCCTAACATGAGGCAATTTCTCTCATACCCCTAAATCTCAACCTCTAATCTCTCTAGGATATATTTCTTTTTTTAATTTTATATGTCAAACGAAATAAAAAGAAAAATTAAACTTGAAACGTGAATATTTTTTATTTGATTTATAGAATTTGATAAAAATAGTTCAAAAATCAAAAAACATTTTTTAATATTTTCACGAAAATCATCAAAATATGAATAAAAAACGATTTTAAAATATTTTTTTTCGAATTTGAAAGCTATAGAATTTAAATATTTTCCCATGGGTTCACCCATCCATTAGGCGGTTTTTGTTTAGTTTTGAACACCGAGAAGGATTTAATTGGGGATTTAGATTTTCATAAAAAGAAAAATTTATGAAATAGAGGTATAGGAGATCACGCGAGTCCATATGAGATTACCTCTAAAAAAAATAAGGGTACAGGAGAATTTGACTCTCCTAACATTAAATCTGCCGAAACTTTCATTATAATTAGTGGATTTCGGCAAGCCCATTAACAATATGATGATCAATAATAATTATTGAGGCCCAAAATCTCATTGTAAATTAAAAAGATTTATGTTTTGAATATTAGTTGAACTATGACACTATCAAAACGTGTATATTATAATAATACACTAAACTTTTGATCTGCGATTAAAAAGCGCGAATATTATTTTTGTTGTTTTATCTACAAATAAATTGATAAGTCTTTTGCTTTGATGATATAAAATATCATAGAATCAAGATCAAATTATTATGCGGGTATGAATAAATTTTTATTTTATACGTCTCAAAAAATTTTTTTATGTTTCTAAATAAGTTAACAATGGTTGTACCTAAAATTCGTACTTGAGAAAGATTATATATTTAACAATTAAATGGTCCAATTTCTTTTTAGTTTTGTGATTAATTCGTAAAATCATTTAGTTACAAAATTTCAATCGCTCAGTCCGACCCTCCCCATCCAACCCGCTCCGTAGCGGGTTGAGTCACTTTTTCGACTGAAAAAATTGACCCGTCTGACCCACAAAAAATATATTTTTGCAAGAAGTTTTTTTATAATTTTTTTAAAAAAATAGCCCATTAATGAAATCCATTAGAATATAGTTTTAGGCCCAAATAAAAAAGACTAAAAGCCATTAATGAAAAATTAAATTTGTTCTATAAAATTAAGCATAATTTAGGAAAATATAAATCATTTATTATAAAAAATGATAATGTTTTAATGTTGATACACAACCTCTTAGTCCATATGCACATATTGATTTTATATTTAAATCAAACGGTTTAAGAAATCCACTGATTTTGTTTTGGTTATTATAAAATCATACGGTTTAAAATTCATGGATTTTGTTTTTAGGCTCACTTACCTACACGAAAATTTTAAAATAAAAGATATTTTAGAGAAAGAGATAATCTATTTACTACATATAAAAAATGTATACATGCTAAATAATTTTTTTGGGACAAATTTTACATGCTAAATAAGTTATCACATTCAAATGTGTAAATGATATATTACTGGTATATAGAGTCATAGACAACCAATTGAATACCAAATATCTAACATATATATACTATTCAAATAAAACTTGATTTTCTTATGAACTAAGTCCTAACAAATTTCTAAAATTTTGATCACCACTAATTCTGTCATAGTATCTTCTGAATTATTCACCATAACTAGGATAAGACCCGCGCCTTGCGCGGGATGAAGGTATTATTTTTATTATGTTTTGAAAAATGAAACAATAGTTCGGTTTCATTCGGATTATAGGTGCTCAATCCGGATATCGGGTTTCGGTTCGGCTCAATTTTTTGTCCGATTTTTTGGTATTTCGATCATTAAAATATAACTACTATTCTAAATCTATATGTACTACAGTTTGATTTGGTTTATATACCATCGGTTTTCAG